CCTCCAGCCCCAGAGCCTTTCATAGCTGGCACGGCGTCTGGCAGGTTCTCCTTTCCTCACGACGCCTTCCCGGTCGCTGATGGCCTCGACCAGCGCCAACCTCAGAGGCTCGGTAGTCGGCCAAGCATCAGCACAGAGATCCCCCGCTAAATAGTCACGGATTCCAGCATACAAGCCGCCCCCCAACATTCTTGAACTGATTGTCAAATTCAGGCCGCAACAGTGGATTGACCGTGCACGGCACGCACCAGTCCGTCCAGCGTCTGCAAGAATCGACGCGCACGCCCTGGCGGAAGGGGCGCGGGGCCCACTGCCCAGCTGAGTAAGCAATAACTCCTTGGAGCTGCGCACAAACATCACGGCCAGGATCCTCGACGTGCGGGGCCATCGCGGTCATCAGCTGGAAGCCGTCGCCGGCCACTCGTCCGCAAGCAATGGCAACAGAGCGCAGATCTACAGCACCTTCTTGCTCGTCACAGAAAGCTGGAGCACGGCCCAGGGAGAAACGCGGCGGCGTCGCGTTCGACCCCCCCCCCCCCCCCCAAGCAGCGGCTAGCGGCAGATGCCCAACAACGAAAGTCAGCGCGAAAACATTGACGGCCAGGATGCCCCCGCCGTCGCACTCTGAGACTCCGAGTTCGGCGGGTCGCGCGTTCGCTCTTCAGTTTAAGAAGGCGCGGGCGGGGCTCGCGCCGAAGACCCCCGAAATCGGCGCAGCGCACCTCGAGGATTACGGAGTCGCAGAGCGGGCAGAAGCAACCTCGGCGGGGTGGCCGCGCTTCTGGCCCCCACGCGCTGCCATCTGTCACGGAGAGCCACCGCGCGCAAAACAGCTATTCCTCGCAAGTCTTCAGGTCGAACAGCTCACTAGGTTTTCACGGGTCCGAGACGCGCGCCCCGGCTGCGGGCGCCCACGCCGCTTCACGAATGCGCCGCGCCCTGAGCCAGAGGGCGCCAAGCAAACGAACCGGAGGAGCCATCATTCTGACCATCGGCTCGATCAGATGCGGCATGTCGAGCAGCAGCGCCAAGCAAGAAACGCGCCAGCCGTTCCAGTCAGCAAGGCCCCGCCACACTTCGGGCCCAGCCATGGAGAACCATGCTTGGCCAAGTTACCGATGCGATTGAGAACAAGCCAAGCCTCGTCACCGCCCAGATCAGGAATGCCCACTGGCGGCGAATTGGCTAATCCTCTTGGGCTCGCAGCTGCCGAACAGTGAACTGCGCCCGTCGCCGCCCGGTTGCGCGCGAGGAAGGTCGGTGGAGGCGCGCGCTTCATCGAGCTGGTGCCGACCAACTCACCGACCGCACACCCGCGTCCTGCGCCCTGCTCGTCCTGCCCACCATCTGATGCAGACATGCCGCCAATAGGAGGGGAACCATGGAACGTGTTCATCACGCCAGGGCGTGCCACTCCACAATGCACGCCGCGTGAAGGCTCGGTTCCAACTCCAGCATGCTCAGGAGAAGGCCATCCGCAGTCATCGGCCGCGCGCTGATGCAACTCTCCAGGCGCATTCCCATCAGGCACATCGGCGGGATCGCTCATCCCCGGATCAGCTCCCCAATCCCAGTAGTGGATGTCGCTTAGGAGCCGCTGTGCGCCAGTCAGATGACTAGAGGATGCCCCAGAGGCGGCAGGATAGGTTCCGCCTTCCATTCCATGGATGTCGACCTCTGCGCGCGACGGGAAGAACTTCTCACGCGGTAGGCCTGCGAACATCGTGACCAGACGACTCATGATATATCCGCAGCCACATCCCCCCGGATGGCGAAACCCATCACCTTGATTTCCAGCCAAAAGAATGACGGGCAGAGGGGCAGCCACGAGGGCGGGCGGCCGAGGCAACGAACGAAAGGTTCGTCGCATCTCTGGCGCCGTCCGACTTGGATCCGCTGGCCATCGGCGATTCCACGAACTGCCGCGCGCGAAACAGGAGGCAATCCGCGTCTCTCGCCCCTTCCAGGCCAGGCCCGCGCCAGCCGTTGCCGCGGGCGTTCGCGCCCCTCTGAAGACGCGCACCATGCTTCATCGCACCTGCCCCTCGCATGTCCCCCCTTCGGGGGATCGCGCAGGCCCTGTCCGGGGCCGACGAGGCCCTCGAAAATTTCGCGCCCGAGAAAGTCATCGTGGCACCGCGCGCCCCGCCCCCTCCATTCCAAGAGATCAGCCGGAAGAGGTCACCGAGAAAATTCGCCCCGGCTGGTCGGCGAAGCGCACCGCGGGGAGACAGCCGCGCGCCCAGCCGCTCGCACGTTGCAACAGCACTTGCCTCGTTTGGAAATCATGCCAAGGGTCGACCGATCGCAGTCTGCGGCCGCCACGGGCGCCACGTGGCGGCGAAGCCTCATCGAGGCGGGGCGCGCCGCCACAGCCAGAAAGCCATAAACAAATCAGCACCAGGGCCGCCCAGAGCAGGCGCACTGGGCATGGCATCGAGACACTCACGCAGTGAATTGTTCTCCACCTCGCAACGTTTAGTTGGCGCTTCCTCCACCAGCACGTTCACACTCGGCGATTTCGCCCAGACCAATCGTCGTCGCAGCATCGCAGCCATCGAACTGTAAGGTTTCGCCATCGTAGGCAAGCTCCCCATGCTCTTCAAGTTGGTCACGCAGGCTGGGGTATATCTCCGCAGACCGTTACTTTCAGCATCGACTTGCATCAACGCTGCCCCATCTACACCAATCTCACCATCCTCCTAAACAATCACACCGTGGTTCAGGAACGCTCTGAAACGACGCCACCTTCTAATTGCGGCAGCCCGTCTCCTGGTCCCGCCACAGAGCTCCCACAGTTATCGTTGGCATCCTCCCAATGGCTGCCATTGCACGGGATCGCTTCGCCCGTGCCATTTTCATCGACAGGCAGGCTGATGGAAAAACCACGCGCAGCTGAAGGCCTCCGAAAACTGTTGCGATTGCTTGAGATCTCCTCTGGCCCCAGATCAGGCTGCTCTACTGCACCGTCGTCACTGCTGCTGAACACAAGCACCCCCCCCCATGTATCGCCCCCGCCGATGTCGCGCGGCGCGCAGCGGGAGACAGGGCGCCGCTCGAGCCTCATCACCATTCGCTGTTCTTCCGACATCCTCGACGGATCGGGGCGCCAGTTGGTCAATTCCAAATGTTCAGTTGCCCCGGCGCGAACGGCGCGCGCTCTCGCCCGGCCACTGCGCCCCCATGCGCACGCGAGGCGCCCGCAGAATTTCCCCCTTACCCCAGCTGGCCCGAATCGCGCGGCCAGTGGAAAATCCCCCGCGGGCCGCCGTCGCCCGCAGTGGCCGGCCGGCGAAGTGGAGAAGAGCGTCGCAGAGCACTCGTGCCGAAGAAGGTCCAAGTAACTGGCCCATCACAACATCCAGTCGTCGGCGCAACCTCTGC